ATGGCAGCCATCACCTAAAATGTTATGCTGCATTGAGCAAAAATCTCAGGGTCTTCTTAAGGTAAAAGAAGAATGTAGCTTGCTCTCCAAATTTGGAAAAATCAGTAAATTTAATTTGCTGTCTGTATATGGCTTAGGGATTAATGTTTATTAAGAAAATTAATTTTATTTGAGGAATTGTGTATATCGTGGTTTTTGACAATTGTAGTGCTGTGAAATGTTCTCACAACAAGTCAGAATGAGGACAGGAGCGCAGCATGAAAAACATTGCATAATTTTAAAATAGTACTGTGGATTCAGAAATGCTGAAATATTATTTTTCTGTAAGCAGTAGCAGACTGGAAATATCCCCAGTTTTACGGTGTCAGAACGTGGGCAGTTGTGAAGAATAAGGAGAAACTACCCCTAAATCAAGAATCTGTCAGGGTTTTCCCATGATGGTTTTTCTGAAGTCAGGATAAAATGCTGCATTTGTTACTGAGGTGTAGAAGACCACTCCTGGATGACGCCGTGGTGCCAGCCACTGGCCTGCTCACAGTATGTGAGCACAGGAGTTCAGATGTGAAGCTTACTACAAACATTTTTATAAATATGAACAGTAAGGATGAGGAAAAGCAAGAATTTTTTGCCTTTTTTCCTCATTCCTTTATTTAGTAAAACTTATTTTAATTAAAAAAAAAAAATCCCCTTTTTTAGAAGTAACAGGAACCTGAGAGTTTTTTTGAAAAATACTTTGATCACATCTGATGATTCTGAAGACTCCAGTTGAGTTAATTGATCAGCAGTTACCTCAAAGCACCTAGTGCCAAGTTTAGTCTGTCACTAATTATTCATCCAGAAGTCTTGGGCTTGTAGCAGTAGAAGAGTAAAATAAACCCCCAGTGGCAGCATATTTTTAGTCTATATATCCACAGCTACATGAGGCTTTTACTAGTAAGAAAACATCTCCACAAAGTGTATCTTAACCAGTATTGTTATTCTGGCAATTATTTCCAGTGGTCTAATTATAAATGCTAGTACAGCTCTTGCCTGGCTGTGTCCTCTGCAGCATATGTTTGATGTCACTATGTCTTTTAAAAAAACAAAACAAGCAGAGAGCCCAGTTTTCAGTTGACTGTGCACGAAGTAATTGCAATTCCACTGGGAAGTACTATCAATTGTGGCATTAAACTACAGGCATTAAAAATATTTTGACTGGTAATACAGTTTTAAAAGATACCCTTTTTCTTCAGGTTGACCACAGATACATTTACTTAAATCAATCGGTTTGCATGTACTTGTCGGTTACAGCAATCACACAGTGGATGTATTTATCTACAAATTGAAGCTGGGCTCCTGTAACTGTAAGTGAGGAACATTGGCTTTTTCTGCTTTACTAGCTTTATCTTTAATCACTCTTACAGAGAGCCTTTAATGGGTTGTGATATCCAATAATTGAGGTGGTAAGGTTAATGGGGCATCTTGTTATGCTACAGGGTTTTGTTGCAAATAATTTTATATGTTAAATGCATGAAATCTTTGCAACAGGAAAGGGAGACAAGAATTTGAGTGGCTAAAGGAGAGGCATCCAGCTAACATCTGGTTGCAGAAATAAAGCTTAAGAACAATGACAGCAACTGCCTTTAGAGAATGACAAGATTGTAAGAGGCAACTAGTATCTGAAATGTAGAGAATGGTTTTGTCTGGCAATGACAGGTCTGAGGGAGTTAAAATAACAGTTTTTAAAACCTGCTCTTGTGATTATCCTACTTCACCCTGTAAAAAGTAGGAGATATTCACCTTTATTCAGTGTCTTTTATGCGCGGGACCATAATGACCATGCACAAATCTTTTGATCACTTTTCTAGCCATGGAGATGCTGAGCACTTTCAGTGCAGAAATACAATAGTTCAGAGATTATTTTTATTCAGAGTGAAGAACTGTGGTCTAGACCACTATCTGTCAGGATAATTTCTGAGATAGGTTTTTGGCTAAGTGGTCCATTTGGTAAAGGCATAAGGTTATTTTCTCAGTCAGTCACCATTCTTCTGAATTTATGCCACAGGAGTCACTGGCAAGCTTAGTTACCTGCTGTGCCCCTCACTGTATCCTTTGGTGACCATCTGTGTCTTTCAGAAGATATTTCCAGTGATGGGAGAATTTCCTGTGTCATTATAATACATCAAACAGTGCACTGAGAGAAAGGTATCTGTAACCCTTAGGACACACAGTACTCCACATTTTCCCTCCCAAGGAAATGCTGCCAGCAAAAGTGGTAGTCACCTTCTTCCCCACACCCAGGCTAAGGCTGTGCTTCCCTCCCTGCCACCTGAACTGATAGTCTGTTTATTGCAAAGGGCTTGATTTAAACCCCAAAATTTACTCACTCTGCCCTGGGATGCCTAAAGAATTGAAGAAACTGTGCTGCTCATAAAGCAACATGTACTGTGCTTTTGCACAGCACTGATTGTCAATAAAATGTAATTTAGCTAAAATAAAAATACCGATCGTCAATAAAGTACAATTTAGCTAAAACAAAAGGCACATTTCTGAGTAAAAGCCTCAGCAGTATTAGAGGCAGTAGAAGCGATACAGAAAATACTGATGATATGAAAATTGCAGTTTAATTATTATTTTTTTAAATATCCAAACTCTCATGTTCAAACTCTAAAAGAGAATGGCAGTAGGAGCAGTAGGCATTTGCATAGTTGTTACCAGCTGACACTTGTGTTAAAGAATATTAGCTGAAATATTTCTGCTACTGTGCTTCTACCAAACGTGCTCTCCTACACATGCCAAAATCTGTACACCAAACCTGGTATGAAAAGGTTGCCGCAGAAACCCTTCTGTGTGTATCCAGTACCTTTCTTTGTCCTTTGTACATAAACTAGACAGAAATGTGTCTTTTAACAGCCAGATCATCCATCCCCAGGACAGAAGGAATTCCATGGGGTATGATGAAACTTACTTTAAAAAATAAAGACAAAACTAAATGCATCATGTAATCATTTAGATCACAACTGGAGGAAAAACAGTCCTATTCAATGGAATGTATCTGTAGATTTAGGAGGCCAGAACAGACCTTTCAGAATTGTTTAAAAACGAGAGAAATGAAACCTACACAATTTCTTTCATATTTCATTAGAATTTAGAATTTCCAACAACCTCAAGGATGTTTGTTTTGTACTTCAACAAAGTTCCATATGGAGAGCTAGGGAAATAACAGGAGGTTTGGGGTTTGATGGAACTCCTAGAGGTAGCCCAAATCCACAACTGTGCTATGTATATAGAGAAAAACTGTTCACACAGTCTTACTCAAAGCTGCTTAACAGCTTAAAATGATAAAAAGTCCTTAACACAATTTAAGAACTTAAACCACTTAAACTGTTTGAAGCAGCTTTTGAGTTTGAAGAGTTTGGGAGGGGGGTGGTGGTGAGAGGCATCCCTGCAGAGCTGCAGGCCAGGGGACGGAGCTGGCAGGGTCCCACATGGTGGGTCCCACCAAAGGGACCCTTTTGCAGCTAAACTTGGGAGGCCTGGAGGTGACGTGATGGAGAAGAGAGAAGAGTTTTCTGCATATTTTTATATAGAATTGTATATACACCCAGATTGCTTTGCTTTAAATAGTGTTGCAGGGAATCTTACAGGGATGAGAGGTGTCAGCAGTGGTATCTCCCCAGAGAAACAGGGAAGACGGGGCACAAAAACATTGTGTATGACAAGTCTTCAGCTGTGGAAAACAACTTTGGCTCATGGGCCAAGGGAAGGCTCCTCAGGAGCATTGTGAAGAAATCTTCTACACAAGCTGCAAGGAAAAATGTTCTGGTTTTGTGGCTCCAGGAGTCAGAGGCAGGGAGTGAGGTGGCATGAGTGGGCCTTTCCTTGAGGAGGAGTTTTTGATTCTGAAAGATTGTTTTGGGGAAAGAGAAATGGCACGGATGGACGGGGAGGCAGGGAGAGTTGCTTTAGTTTGACTGATCTCAAACAGTATTACTTGGTCACATCAGAAGCGTGTTGTTAATAGGTGAAGTCAGACGTTTATAAAACAGAAAATAAGCCATTATTTTTGAGATCTAGTTTGGTCCCTGCTGCCATGTGTGGTTGTCAGTGGTTGCATGTGTGTTTGTGTGTGTGTGTATGTGCACTCAGATGGGAAAAATTGGTGGCACTGCACAGAAGTTATACTTGTGGGCAAAGGAAGAAGGCACAGGAATGGGAGTGAATGTCTGAGGGGGAAAACAGCTAGGATGCTGCTTCTGATGGCAGTGATGCCACCTTAAATGTTTTGAAACTTGGTCTGGTTTTCATTTATGCAGGCAGTGATTTACACCTTTCTGTGCAGAAAAGGCTGTAAAACAGGAGTGAATTACATTCTGTACAATTTGAAAATAAATTGCGCATTCACAGCCACTCAGGGTGAGGCCTATTTACACTTCCAGAGCGGTATATGATGAGTAAATGAAAGTTAGGCCTGTGTGTGAATGAAAAATGCCTGTTTTACTAGAGGCTGTGAAAAGAGAGAGCAAGAGAGACTTAGTGGAAATTGGAAGCGAGACTTTTATTTGTTTGTTTAAAACAATCGTATTGATTTGGAGTCAGATGGAGCATTGGTGTAACTGCAAACTAATTCCACTGAATTCTGCGAGGTATTTCTGGTGATGCTGATGGGGCTGGATGCTTATGTTTATAATATGAGCTTTTCTTGTGTTCAGGTAAGTGTTTATCACATTATATTCTTGTGTGATCTTGGTGGCATAATATTTAACGTGAATGTTATCTGTCCAAAAACACTATCTTCACTGGGGAGAAGCAGAGCTTGGGTATAGTTAAGATCATTTGATCTCAATACAATTAAATAACTCCTTGGTTTTCTTTTATGATAAGGAATGAGATATGCAAATGTTACTTGGTGACAGTAAGTGCTTTTTGACTAACGACAGACATAGAAAGAAACCATTTAATTGATGAAATCTTGCTGTTGTGCGCATAATGCTAATATCTCAATATTACTTGAATTTCAGAACATTTCAAGATCTGTCCAAACAAATGGATATATCTTATGGTACAGTCAGGGATTCAGCAGTGTATGAATACTTTAAAGCAAAAGGGACAAACCCTTTGGAGCAGGATAACACATTTGCTGAACTGTGGAGGACAATCAGTAAGAATAATGGGGCAGATAATTGCGTATCGAACCCTTCTGAAGGCATCAGGAAGGTAAGACTGGATCACAGGGGCTTTCATTTAATTTTTGTATCACTGTTGTTTCTATGGAGTTATTGTTAAGTTCCAAGAAAGAAATTACGGTCATTTAAGAAAACCTTGAATTTCTTTTAGTACCTTGATGGCAGATAAGAATCATATTTTGGGGTCATGGCTTTGAAGTAAGTACTTTAGCTCTACTTAAGTCTTCAGTATGTAAGTCCTTCTTTGAATCTGGTCATAAGGTTTCTCAGTTTCTTGGGAGTTTTCATAATGCCTTTTTGAGTGTCATTCTGTACATCATCCAGGTACTGACTCTTGTCCTTTTGCTCACTTGAGTTTTTAGGGATTTTTTTCATGAATTTAACATGTTGGAAATGTAAGTGGAAATCAGGGGAGTCACAGAATGTATACTCATTTCTCTTAAACAATATTTAATGCAAGATTTTTCTTTGTTTATTGCAAACTTTGAAAAGCAAATTCCCCTGACACCATGCTTTTACCTACATTTTGTTTCCCTCAGATAAGACTGCACATTTCTTTTGTGAGACTGAGCAATGATGTGAGATTCAGTGACTGATATGTAACAGCCTGGGATCCTACACTAATGTGCCAAGTCCTGTGATAAAGAATATTGGTTCAGATCAGACTGTTACAAATGTCCACTCTCTCTCACAGCCTGCCTCTCCCCTCTACTTCCCATCCTGAAGCTCAGGAAAAACAGATAGTACCTTACATCAAACCACGTGTCCAGGAGCAGAAGGGATGCAGACATGTTGTAAGCTAATGTGCTGTTCTTTAGTGAAAGCTGTCCCCTTTGTCTGTCAATTGATTTTTTTCATAAAACAAGCTAGCAGCCATTATTAGCACAGTGGATGTTTGATCAGATGTCCTCTTGTCTGTGAAACACTGGTTCTGAATTAATATACATTACTAACTCTTTATGCTTTTGTAGGTGGGAAATGATAACATGGTTGAGTCTTCCATTTTTTTTTTTAACTTGGGATTTTTGAAACCTTTTCTGAATAGTGAGAGGGAGAGTATCCAAAATCTACTGGTTTTTACAGTGCTTTAAGAAGGGTGAACATTACCACAAGCCAACTCACTTCCCAATTCATTATCCTTTAGCAAAAGATTCCCAACTGTTTGCGTGACTTTTGGACAAAATCTTTGTACAAATACTGTTGTTTTCTCAGCATAGGTTCACCCTGCCCTTTCACTCATCTCTCAGTTGAGCTTCCCTAAAGGCCTCTGTCCTCAGCTTCAGTGGCCTTTCTCCCTTGGTACAAGGTAGAGCTCTGGCAATAGCAAGGTATGCAGCGTTTATTGAATTATTTGTTTGATACACTCGGCCTTTTTATGAATATGAGGCCTCTATTTTGAGAGATTTTGGTAACATTTAAAGGAGAAATGGAGACATTATGTACTTTTCTATGTACCCTATCATTTAAGCCAATAATAAAACAGTTTACCTCAGGAAAACATACAGTATTTTACTTTTCTTTTTTCTTTTATGCCATTCTTATGGCAGTGGATGTTCTTTATCCATGAAATTGTAAATGCTCTTATTCTGTAAGCCTACTGCACGCTGCCATTTATGATAGCTAGATTTTCCTAAGCCAGAAATGTAACTGTAGATTGGCAGGCTGCTGAGAATACCAATTATATTGTCTGTATGGAACTGGCAGCTTCATCTTATCTATGTGATAATAACTTTTCATATGAAGTTTGATTTCAATATTGTAGGGTGACTCTTATATGACTAGATCAACTCATTCAATTAATGTCAACAATCAAATTTTACTTCGGTCCCCAAAGATGACCAAGGCCACTATTTGATTAGACACCTACATACATGGGGATTAATATTTAATAACATTGTCAACTAAACTGTTGTGTTTATAGTTTAGGTGTCACTCTTCCTAGCTCATGAGCTCTTTCCATAAACAGACAAATTTTCCATGTCAAGTATTATAGCTAGAAATTCTGGTTTTTTTCTAGAGGAGAATTGATGTCAGCCAAGGAAATGAGAGTTTCATCCATAAACACGTACTGCTGCATGAAAGAGATGTAAATGTGCCTTAAAAATGTATTTTATAGGAAACGGGAAATCTAAATCTCTCTAGCATAAAAAGATTCCATAAAACATTTTTCTGAATGAGGAGTTGCCTGACATAATGCAAAAAAAACCCAAAACCAAACAACAAAACCCCCCACTACTCTCCTTTCTTCCCTTCTCCTCCTTTCCACTTCAGACAGTATCACAGTTCAGCTGTGGTTACAGACAGAGCAATGCCACTTCAATGCAAAACAGGGGAGTGCTGGCTGTCTGTGCTGCAGGCAGGTATTTCACATTTGTCTCTATTCCATCTCCCTCCATGTCATGGAGATTTTCCTACTCCCTTTGACTGTCTGAAAGAAAAAGGATGGTAGTTGAAGAAAGCCCTGAGAGTTTTTGAGGTATTTGGTGCCAAGGCAGAGGTCTCTCTTCAGACTCAGCACAGTCGTTGTAGCCACAGTGACCGTCTCCCATAAGTGACAGGAGGATGTTTCAGAGGGAGGCAAGTTGCTTTTGTTGTGCTCCCAAGATAGCTGAAAGAGGTCACTGAAGATTGAAAACGTCCTCATATTCACCAGTGCCCCTGCACAGCATTAGAGCAGGTCACCAGGCAAATCACCAGTCCATACAAAATACTATTTTGTCACTTGAAACACTGTAACAGATGATGATTGATTAACACTGTCACAGGGAAAGTTTCTTTCTGGGTCAAGCTCCAGCCGGGATCCCCAGGAAGCATGCAGTGAGTACTCCTGCCATCTCATCCCGGGTGGACATTTGTACTGGAATCACGTGCATTTCTAAGCCATTTGCACATCTCAGCAAACTGTTTGCATAACACCCAGTGGCAATTAGTTCTCAGGGTAATTATTGATTGCACCAACGTATGCAATAACCTGTGTTTTTTTTCATTGTGGGCACCCATTTTTGCTTTGAAAGAATGAAGTAATATGATACCCATGTAATGCCATATCTGCTATATATGTACACCTAGGAGAATTAAACTGTTGTTGTATTTTATAAAACCCTGCTTTGGTTGAGACTCTTCCTCTGTCCAATCAATTTTGTGCCAAAGTTTCTCTGAATCCTTTCCTTTCTTCCTGTGTATCACTTGATCAGAAGTGAACAAGGCCAAGGAGTGCACAAAATGAGGATTCATCATTGATTTAGGCAATAGCACAGTAAGAATTTAGTCCTTCCCTTTTTTTCTCCCCTCAAAAAGTCTCCCTTGACTGCAAATGAACAGCAAACATTAAAGCAGACTGATCTTATTGAGCAGTCACTTCTATTAATTCTTATTTTGAGAGTAAAAGTAATTTAAAATTTCTATTAATATGACTTTAAAAAAATATTTTTCCAATAATTTATTGTTCACAATGAATTTTATATTGTGAACTGGGGTTCTCCAACCATATGCTTTCATGGACCTTCATAAATTTCTGTTTCTTGACCCATATGAAGTAAAAGCAAATGCTTCCTGAAATCTGAATTTATTACATCCTGTAGTGGTTCCTTAACTATTTTAATGTTGGAAACATTTCAACAGGATTAAATGGCATGTCTTTCTTTTTATTAGAATTGTTTTGCTTCTCCTAAAGCATTTTTTTATAGATAATAAATGTTATCCAAGCATGTTTTTGAACTACTCCACTAATGCCAATGTAAAGGTCACTTTTTGATATTTCTGTGGTACCAGTCATATAATGGGATCAGCTACAGTGGCACTCTGTTCTGGCAGTAAATTAACGACAAATTTTGCATTATTCTGGCACTTGTGTCTTTAGTATGACAGCTTCTTCATAAGTTAATCTAGAATTAATCTCTTTTTTTCATGTTATTATTATTTCTTATATACTTTCTTTGAAATACCATAATTAACCATCAGTAAGCCAGGAGTCTTTTAACAATAGTCTTCTATCTCTCTCCACATTGAAGAGTGACATTATGAGGTTGCTTACTGCTTTTCTTGAGTATTATTTCCTGTGTGGTCCTTCTTACATCTTGGAAGGAATCTTCTTTGGCCTTTTAATTTTTTTAGGACTGTGAAGAAGAAACAATTTTTCTAATACAAGTTATGCCTGGGGTGGTCTTTTTTCTTAAATCTGTTTTCATAAATCTCTTACACTAAAGATGAATCTGGTGTCTTTGGTGTAAGCCAAAGTAGTTGTTCTACCTGGGTAGAATAAATGAGTGCTACTTTGTCTGGCTTTCTGATAAGAAGGATGTTGAATGTTTAACCAAGTGATTTTTTTGTTCTGCAGCATTCCTGTGTGCTGGCAGTCACTATAAGGCCATAGCAAAGGAGCAAAATACGAGAGATAATTATAAATCTAAAGTACAAATTTTAGCTTATTATTCTGTATTTAATTTCAGTCATTTTTTATTCTAGCTATCTTGCCTATGCTCAGCTGATGTTTGCCACAGGCCCTTTTACCAGCTCTCTCTCTCTATTCTATCTTTGCAATGATGTCTGATCACTACTAAAACATTTTTATGGGCCCTAAAAACACACAATTCAGGCTGTAGATGGCTGAGCTGTGAATGCAAGAGTGTGAGGATATAGATATTTGCTGTACTGGGATCAGGACTCGGTTGCATGGGTAGGTACATCTGTGTTATACACAACTAGGGCGCTTGATGTGTTCCTTGCTCGTCCATCCCATGGGTCAGAGCCAGGTCTTCCTACCTTCCCTCTGGCCTGGAAGCTTAGGGGCGTGCACACTTTCATGTAAAAAGAAATGAAAAGTTTAAGCAGCCTTTAAACATTTTAGGTTGATTTTTCTTTGAAAATAAGTGTCCATTTGATTTCATTTGGCTTTTGCCACTTGCCTAGTGAAGGTATGTAAAAATTAAACATTCTTCAAGCACACATGTATGTGTGCAGTTGTGTGTCTTGCACATATTTTTTTTGTGGTTTGACAGCTTTTCTTTAAATTGAACAAATGATACTGCTTAGCTGTCACAACAGATATTAACAGGGAAGGGAAGGATGCTGAATTTAGAGAGCAACTAAACATTTTGTTATAAGAAAACTTTCCGCACAATGAACACACTAATAGTATGAGGTCTCCACTCTTCAGAGAAGAAAATTGAGCATGTGGAAGAAGTTTTGGAAGAAACAAATCTCTCCTTAAGAAAAAGGATGTTCAGAGAATCTGCTTTTGGCATCAGACAAGGGGAGCAGTCTTACACCCCGTATTTCTGGGAGATGAGACGTATGCACAGCTAAGAGTTTAAAACTCAGATTCCTGTTTATGCTAAAATGATCAGGCTGTCAGAGAAATAATGTGATGACATTGGATAGAATGATTTATGTAATTTAAAAAAAATATATAAAATAGATGTGAAGAAACCTGGTAGACTTTGTTTATTGACCACTTACACTTGTGGGATGTAATTTGGGATAGCAACACTGCAAACAAAAGATAAAGCAGACCTTTACAGAAGATCTGCTGTCCAGCATTGAAAGTCAGTGTACAAAACTCTTCTATATAAAATAACACACAGAAAACTGAGGCTTGAAAAGTAGAATCAATAATGTGATTTTCTTGTAGTCATTGCATTATGACAGAAATCGAATATTTGAGGAAGATTGTGTTCCTCAAGTATTACTAAGAAATAGGCGAGGAGTGTATTATATGTTGTCAGTGTTGTTCTTTTCCAAACTGTAAATTCGAAAAGCGAATTTACAGACCAATTCTGAAAGAACAGAAGATAGATACAATTTTTTAGAGGAAATGAACATACAAAACAACAACAGCCAAACCCAAACAAACAACCAAAACAATCCCTAGAGAAATACAAGGCACATTTTAGCACAGCAACTTAGGCCAAATCTTCTCTGGGTGTCCGATTTCTGTATAGGCAAGATTTTGTTCTGGGATAGCATGAATTTCCAATAAATTCTGTGTACGGTAACAGGTGCTGTTGTCTTTGTTCCCATGAGTGCATATTTTTAATGCACCTGAACTTGCAGTTTCCCACTGTAGGTATAGAAGGCCTATGTACTATTTACCACAGAACAAAACCTGACTGAGATGTGCAAAAGCAGGGCCTTTGCTGGTCCTTCCCTGCCAGGATCACTATTGGGACTGATGGTCGTTGCCTCTGGTCCCTCACCAGGTAGGAGGTTTATCAGCACCATCACAGCTGTGAAAGTGTAAAATGGGAATCATTGAAGCCCCTCACAGGAAGGGCAGAGAGGAAGATACAGAGATATACAGCTAAAACCCCAGTTAATTAGCTACGTGGTCACTCAGAAAATACCTTTGAAGAGTATCTTTTAGGCTTCCAAGAACACAGGTTGCTGGTGGAATGTAGGCCAAATTCCTTGAGAAATCACTTCCTTTCCATTCTGAATTTTGTACACATCACTGTGTTGGCAGGTTTTGAAGCCTTTTCTGGTGTTTGCTTATAGTAAAGAGTGATTTGTTTGTTCTTTTCTCCTTTGTGCCACTATTACCAGATTAGATAAACAGCCAAGTGGAGTATTGCAATGCAGGTGTGGAAGTCTTGCACTGATCTGGTGTCATACAATGATAATAAAGTGCAACATATTTTTATGAACATGCTGGTTTAACAAGTTGTGTCAGCTAAATCAATGTGTGATTCTAACAGTAGAGTGGGGCTCCTGTTTGAATAACTCCTGTAATAGGAGTTACTTCATACTGTAGTTCAGATTTTAATTTCATTTTTTACTAGGATATCAATTACTCTTTGGGGCTGTGTGAATCACTGACTGTTTCTCTGAACTGACCAGGGAGGTGGACAAGGACAAAGTGAGCACAAACTCACAATAGTGGCAGGCCCTTAACAAAAATAGTATTTTCAAAGGGGTCAGTATACAGGCTCATTTAAAAGTTACCAAAGAGGAACATTTCTACTTTGTTTTAACTCAGAAGCAAATGAATTTGTGGATCTTTAATTGCCTTGATGCAGATAAAAGGGAAAGTGAGAAAAGAGGTGGATTGTGGCAAGTAGCTTACGGAAAATCCAGGAAAAATAATTTTAATCTTTATTTCCCTGGGTTCTACCCACTAGGGGATAACTCACCCGTTTGATTTATTCTCATGTGTAAGCAACTGCAAGGGACTTCAGAAACCTATGGTTTTTATCAGAGCAGGGTGAATTAAAATTATCTTAATTGCTCAACTGAGGAATCCAATACAATAAAACATCTAACAGAGTCTTACAAACTTACAGGTGAATGTAAAAATAAGCTTACACAGAAATTGAAAGTATGCAGAGGGATGAAATAATACTGTCAGAACTTCAGCCAATTGCTAAGGGAGCTTGGTAAATCAGTTCACAGAAAGAAATATATTCAGCTCACTGTTTTGTTTGATCTGACCTAAAGAAGGATCTGAAATCACCCAAAGTTTAAAAAAAAAAAAAAAAAAAGAAGTACACATTTATTACCTTAGATGTTCAAGCCCATCTGTTCTATTGTTCACTAGGGACTTAAAAACTTACTGCTTTAATATATTAAGAAACCAATAATTACTTTGACCAAGAAAATTATTATTACTTTTGCTTTGTTGAATCACTATCCAGAGACGTTTCTTTCTTCTTGTGTTAAGTACAGTGATTTACATTCACTGTATGCCCCGTGTGCAGGCACTGGCTTCAGTCCCAGTTAAGTCTGATGTTTAAGGGTATCTGTATGAGTGTGTGTTAAAATAAAACAATATTTATCCCAAAACTGAGATAATAGGAGATTCTTGTGAATCTTCTTACCTGTGAAGAAAAGAGGGAACTCTTTAAAATCAGAGCATGCGTTTCATTACAGGACTAACATAACTCTTAGAAAGACTTTGTTTATTTGGAAGGGAAATATGTTTTATTTACGTGTTTATATCAGCAAAGCTACAAAGTTACAATTTTGGTGACTGTGATGACCAGGAAACATCACTAAGTGCTCATACTGTGCCTGTCTTATTACACGAATGTATGGAACCAGCACATTCCATTCTCCTGCAAAAGATACAGAAAATCCTATCACCTAGAGTAATAGCTCTGATTTATAATTAATAACCTGTTACATAAGCTTTACTTATATCTAAAGTTGACTATGTTATCCTATGTATTCCTACTAAAAAAGGAAGATATTTTAGCAATGTTTGAAGTAGATGAGGTACCGCTGAGAGGGAAGAGTGTCAGAAATATATTAAGATGTTGGAGGTCTACAGATAACTTGTGACCTAATGAAATACCACCAAGGAATAATTACAAGATCTGGATTCGTTTGCTGGTTTGGGTTTTGTCCTACCTAGAAATTCAGTTTAGTTTAGATTGTGCTTTGTTCATGCTGCATTTACAGGCCAAGAAAGGAAATTACGCTTTCCTGTGGGATGTGACAGTGGTGGAATACGCGGCGCTGACAGATGACGAATGCTCTGTGACAGTCATAGGAAACAGCATCAGCAGCAAAGGATACGGGATAGCACTCCAGCATGGAAGTCCCTACAGAGATCTTTTCTCCCAGAGGTAAACTGAAACAAAGCTCGTTTTAGAGGATTCTGCTCTATAGCCAGCAACCATTTGTGGTTCACATTAATGACAGCAGAAAGGTTGAGTTCAGGCTCCAACAAAGCTGCTACTTCTGCTCCATGTGGATCTGTTTTGATAGGAGGGGACGGAGGTGATGCATTGATGTGTGGCCTCACACCTTCATGCAGCGCTGCCTCTGGCACAAAGGACCAATGAATATGTTTTTCATGTGAATGTGTACACTGAAACGAAGACAGGCAGTGGTGCAGGCATGTGTGGCCTTAGGAAAAGGTGAGCTGGTGCTCCCTTCCAGGCAGGGAACTGAAGCAAGATTTCCTCATTTTGCTCCTTCTTTATAAAAAGAAGCAAAACTCCAGCTGCATAACTAGAGACAAAGCTGCCTCGAGAGAACAGATTGTTAGTAAACAGCTAAAACAGTTATCAAACCAAATCCAAAATGAATCATTCATGCAGAGAAGGGACACTTCACAAGAGACAAAACAATGATTAATTAGCAACTGTTAACACAGTAATTCAGGCATTAAGTAACAGCACTGAAGTAAAATCCTTTTGAATAAAGTACATTTGCTGAAGTAAATGAGTTGGTCTCTGCCTAAACAGATTTGTATTAAGTGGTGCACAAACAGTAGCATGTTTAGCCTCCCATGATTTTGAAATTATTGTGGAAGAGCAGCAGTGGAGTGGGTTGAGCATTTCACTAGTGGGACCAGCTGTTGCAGCTGAATGTAGCCAGACC